AAGACTGTCTGAGGATGCCCACTGAGCAGAAGCCCTGGCCACGGGAGCTTCCGGGCGCCTCATGAAAGGAGAAAGTGTGTGTGGGTGATGCTCATGGGGCACTTGGGTGGCGGGAAGGAGCCAGGGACACAGGATGGTGTCGGCCCTGAACCTGGTTCCATTGGGGTCTCCAGCACTGCCCCCCAAGTTCCCAGCTGCTCCCTGGCACAGGTGGGCACAGGCCCTGGGGTGACAGCCCCGCGGCCCGTCAGCCGGGCCGGGCCAGGCGCCCCCCAGCTTGTGTTGACCGTGAGCTTGGTGGGTTTTGTGTAGAGCTCTGATGGCGGTGGACAAATCGAAAGGTTGTTTCCTTCCAGAAGTTGGAACCAGCTGTTGAATTAATCATTGCATTTCGATTCCATTGTGGGTTTTGGAGATTCTGTGTTTGTATACCCCATGATCTGATGTTTCATGGTGCCTCACAAAACCCAGTTCTGTCAGCTGTCAATGCCCCACGATATCACCGGGCTGGGGGCGGATGAGGGAGCCACAGTTCTGCACATTAGCAAGTCGCCCTCAACTCTCCCTGTCTCTTGTGCTGGCTTGCACCCATCCTGGATGCCCAGCCCGTGGAAACCTGTGGATACGGACTCAGATGTGTCTGCCAGGCTGCAGGCATGGGCTGGCCAATGAGCTACAGCATTGAGGGAAGGCACAGTGCTGTTGGTAACGAAGGCGCTGGGACCGAGCAGGCCCTGACGAGGCCTTGGGCAGGAAAGGAGCCACGTCCCGGGCCTCACATGGGACTGCTCTGTGAGCCGAGTGCACAGACACGGCATGCCAAGAAGGCAGCGTCGCTCTCACACTCTGCTGGGCATGCGGTTTGCAGGGCGTTGTCCCATCTGAGCTCCAGCCCTGGAGACAGGCGCGTGGTAGGGTCTTAGGGGGTCCCTGGGACACCTGGTGCTTGTTCCTAATAACCTCTGCTCACTCCTCTCCCACACTAAGGGGTCATCAGTGGTGGACACTTGCCTATCTGTTCTCTCGGAGACCTGCCCATTCTCCCACCTCTAAGCGGGCAGTTGAGGGTCTGCTGCCTTGGGAAGCTCCCAGCCCACCCCTCTCTGCCCTCAGCTTGCCCTGCAAAAGGTCAAAGGTGACCCCACAGAAACACCTTAAAGCGATGGTAGAGAGAAGGTCTACAGCACATATTTAGATCTTATTTTCAGAGACTAAGTTGTTTATTAAAATTTAATTCTGGAAATAAAATGTGTGGCCAGTTACCCCTTCTCTTGGGAGCACCTATTAAGTAGCAATGTTCTCTCAGCTTCCCTCCCGTGTGAGGGTCCCAGGCGAGGTGGAGAGGCCCGAGTTCTGGAAGGCAGACTGGCGGGATTGTCAGGAGCACATTCAGCCTGCTTCTCACAAGTCCCGTCGGGAGTAGGGGATGTTTCTCAGGGCACATCACCCGTCAGTGCTGGAGACCTGCCCGGCACACGCCCAGCACCGGTGCCACTTCTGATTTTCTTAGCTTTAGCAAGTGTTTGGGGTTACAACCTAGAGGGTCCAACCCAAGAAAACACAAATGAGAGTGTGTGCACTCACGTCAGCCATCCCAGCCTCCTGAGCTCGTGCCCACACATGTACACGCACACCGCACACACACCCATGGGGATCAGCCGTGTTTTATATGTTGTTTTGATTGGCTGTAGAGTGGTGCCACACACCGAGCGTCGAGGCCAGGGACTCTCTTGGTATTGACTTCATTTAATGATGATTGTAACAGGGCTGGTTTTTTAATTTTGTGAGGGGAATTAGAAATGAAATCGCTCAGCAGCACTTCAAAGCAGAGTTCTAAAGCCCACCACATGCACTTGCTTCAAAACGGCCGTGGAAGCTCTTTGTGAATGAGCTGGTGTCTGCATAAAATGTCTGTGGTTTTCATTGAAAAAATGTCTTGGCTTTAAAATCCATACCAAAAGCGTGGCTGAAACAGTTATCCTGCCTGAAGACAAAGTTTATGTGACAGAAATGTCATTAAAATAATTAAAATCTGGTCTCCAGGGACTGACGGAGGCAGTGAAAGCCGCTGGCAAGTGTCGAGAGTGGCCTCGCTGGGCCCTGCTGCCCGTCAGAAGCCCCCGAGGAAACCCCAGGTCCTCAGAGAGGGGACCGTGACCTGTGCCTTTGGGAAGACAGACCACGTCTGCCGATCATGGAGATGAAAGCAAATGGCTTTCCCTGGATTCTGAGGCGTTCTCTCCATCCTGCCACTGCCTAGACTGAGTTTTTCAACTTTCGGCCGCCATGGCAGGACTGTGAACACAGACTCCAGCGCATGCTCCGAAGAAATGTTTTGTTTAAAAGGCGGCATTTCCTACTTCATGTTTACAGAATCTGTCGAGCTTTTGTGGCAGCATTGCGGTGGACACAGAGACATATTAAGTCTGAGGCTGGTGTCACCCATTGAAGGACTTTATGAAAGTTGTATTGACAGGAGTCTGGAGCAGGGGTTGGCACACTATGGCCCACAGGCCAAAGCCTACCACGTGTTTTTTGTGGGTTTGTTTTTTTTTTTTTTTGTGAGGGAGATCAGCCCTGAGCTAAAATCCATGCTAATCCTCCTCTTTGTGCTGAGGAAGACCGGCTCTGAGCTAACATCTATCGCCAATCCTCCTCCTTTTTTCCCCAAAGCCCCAGTAGATAGTTGTATGTCATAGCTGCACATCCTTCTAGTTGCTGTATGTGGGACGCCGCCTCAGCATGACCGGACAAGCGGTGCATCAGTGCGCGCCCGGGATCCGAACCCGGGCCGCCAGTAGTGAAGCGCGCGCACTTAACCGCTAAACCACGGGGCCGGCCCCCACCACGTGTTTTTTTAAGTCAAGTTTTCTTGGAACCTGGCCATGCTCACGTGTTCATGTATAGTGTGTGGCTGGTTTTGCACTACAAGGGCAGTGTTAAGTGTGGCAACAGAGACCGTGTGGCCTGAAGACTAAAATATTGAGTCTCTGGCCCTTGTAGGGAAAGGTCGCCAAGCTCTAGTCTGGACAGTCCCATGTCGTGTTCCTTAGGCCCCTAATGATGGTCCCCAAGGCGCAGACCCTGGGTCCTTTGAAGCTGCTTTACTCAGCCTGTTGCAGAGATGGTTCCAGAGGAAACTGGGTGAACGGGGCACAGCCTCAGAAGAAAGAAAAATAAAAGCATCGAGATGTTCAAAAGCCCACCCCAGTCTTCTGTGATGCCCCAGTTTGAGGTTCCAGAAGTGAGTTGCTCGGCTGGCGAGGTGGGAAGCTGGTGTGTTTTTTTTTTTGGCAGACATCTCAGCGTCTGACCCGAGCAGATGAAAGCCACGGAGGGCTCTCGCATCGCACAGCAGAGGTTCCTCTCTCTCAGAAGCCCTCACTCTGTGGGTCTTTCAGAACCGGGTGGGTGCTGCGTGTTCCCTCGAGTGGGAACTCGGTGTCCCGGCTGCTCTGGCGTCCCGCGTCCTCAGCTCGGCTCCTCCCCGTGGATCCTGCACAGGAGGGCGGCCGGATCTTCACCTTGTGTGCAGCTCTCTGGGCTTTTCCTCACCTCCACCACCTGAAACCAGAGGGACTTCTCAATACGACTGCAATCTAGAATAGTTCCTGGGTGGAGTAACATTTAATTGTGAGCATTTTTGTTTCTTTTGGCCAAAGTTGGTACTTTATAGTTGACTTCGCTGACCTAAACAGTGAATTTCATTCTGTAGTGAAAGCTGAGAGAGAGACTGGAGGCTTCCACGGCCAGCTGTGCCGCCCTCGGCGGTGGCGTTCCAGAGCTCTGCGGTGTGGGAAGGGAGCGTCAGCACGCTCCCAGGTGTGAGCGCCTGTCCGCCTGGGCCTTGGAAGATCTGTCTGCAGGAAACTGACTCAGAGATGGGAGCTGGGCATGCGTGCTGGCGGAAGCTGCAGGAACACGGACCCGGCCTTTGGTGTAGCAGGAACTTGTTGAGCAGCTCTGAGAAGTAGGCGGAACGCTTTCCAACCTGGAGGAGTCGTAAAACGTGGACTTCTCCAGCGAGGGGTCGAGTGACGAGTCCAGCAGAGTCGCACGGTGTGCGTGAGTAATCATGGTCCGCCTTCCTCAGCCACTCCAGGAGTGCAGGCCCGGACACCTGTGATTCTGCCCACCTCACCCCCGAGGGGAGGAGGGAGACTCGGAAGTCCATGGTGATTAATTCCAAATCAGATAAAGCAAGCTTACAAGACATGAAACTGCTTGACCGCCTGTTGTCATAGATGCTCAGTTGTAACACAGTGCCTGTATTTACAGGACGGGCTGATGGACTGCAAGCTCCCAGGGGGGTGTTTTCTGTTAAGAAGTGTTTTTTCCACTTTTCGAGTAGACTGTATCCCTTGTTCCCCTAATATAACTTAACCACTGGACTTCTCAGAGAATAAAGAAATATTTTTAACCTGTCAGTTTTCTTAAATTTGATCATCGGCTTTCCCTTTAAAGATCTTAAGTGCAGAATTGCTCTTTAATTAACCCAATGCATTGCCCTTGCCTACATGCTCATTGGTCATCTGGTCGTCCGTTGCTGACCTTGTCGTGGCCCCCTGGAGTCAGTGGCTGGGGGCAGTGACTGCGTCTGTCCTGAGTCAGGGCCAGTGTAAAGTGAGCAGAGCCGCCCCACCTGCAGGAGGGAGCCGGGCTGGGGAGGACCTTTAGCAGCCTGGGCCGCCCCAGGTCAGTGCAGCTGGTGCCGTGGGGGTGACAGATCCCCTCAAAGTGCACAGAAGATGGCCCGTGCCCGCACTGCCCGTGCTGGAGCGGGCACTGAGCCTTCATGTCGGGGCTTGAGGGCTTGGGATGCCTGTGAAACGAGCCGTGATCACACCTGGGCTGACCTTCTCACGGGTGTGAGCAGTCAGATGAGCTCCCGTGAGGAGCCGCCAGACCTTGAGTGGGGACGGGTGCCATCAGCGACCGTCCAGCCCTCTTCCGTGGCGTGTCCTGGGCTGACCAGTGTCGCCTTCTCCCGCCCTTTGCAGGACCGTGGTCATGCCAATCGCGAGCGAGTTTGCCCCGGACGTGGTGCTGGTGTCATCAGGCTTCGACGCAGTGGAGGGCCACCCCACGCCTCTCGGCGGCTACAACCTCTCCGCCAAGTGTAAGTGGGCTTGCAGATTGCCCGGAGCACCCATAAAAGCTTCTGTGCTTTTATGGTCAGATGTGCTCTGTATTTCAAGTCTCCTTTAGTGACAACAGAAGGAAACTGTCCTTTTTACGTCTTACCGAAAACCTGATAGTGCTGGCAACCCCAGAGAATGCTGGGCAAGCAGTGGGACGGTGTAGACCAGGAGGCCTCGGGAACTCCCCGCCCTGGAGGTCGTGCTGGCATGAGGTCGTGCAGCCTGCGAGCTCGGGGACCCCGGGTGCACGTTCTGTCAGCTGGGACGCAGTGCCCGATGTCGCCACGCTGAAGAGGGGGAGCAGGCCCTAAACCCTGTGTGGAGGGAAATAGCTGAAAGCAGGTTTACCTCAGAGTTGGAGGGAGGAGGGAGCCCCAAATTCTGTGCATGCTCTGGGGGATTTGCATAGGATGATGGCCCTGCTTTTAACCCAGGAGACAGAATGGCTGTGAAAAGAGCCCTGCCCAGTGGTAGCTGTGGCCTGTGCTTCTGCTCTGTCACAGCAAATCACAAAGCAATGGAAGACCTCCTGGCATTGAGCCTCAGGTCCTCAGAAAGGCCCTGGATGCCCCGCTCCCCACCCCCGACCCCAGCCACTGCTGCCTGGTGCCCCGGGTGTCACAGCAGTCGAGGCATCTGGGATTCTCCAGGGCTCCTGGACATGGCCCTGGTGACTTGTATGAGGCCCTGGGGTCCCCTTGTGGCCCTTGGTCCCCGTCAGTGCAGATGATGGAGGAGAGCCCATCCCTGTCCCTGTCCCTCACACGGAGAGAATGTGGGCTCACAAGAGAAGAAAGATGGAAACAAAAGGCGGCCCTGGGGTGGCCGTGCTCCAGCGCAGCGCCTCTCAGCATCCTCCTGCCCCCTGGCCGTGGGCCTAGTGGCCGACCAAGTGACCAGGCAGAGGGCCAAGAGTGTGCACCATGCCCAGCGCCCCTCCACGCCTGGTCCAGACTGCTGCTGCCGCTATGTCCCGAGCTTCATTTAATCCTCATGGCAGCCTCAAGCCAGTGTCACTATCCCCATCAGGCAGAGAGGAAGCCAAGGCTTTCGGAAGTTACTGCCTCGCCAGCACCCGCAGCTGTCAGGGAGCACAGCCCAGCCTTGGGCCTGGTCTGCTGATGGCCAGCCTGTGATGGAGCCACTGATCAGGGTGGCGCAGTCTCACCAGCTCTCTAATAAATGGCAGACTGTCCTGGCCAAGGGTGGTAATTATCATTACCCGTCAGGCGCTTTTGGCCA